CCTCACTGCTCCAGTCTCAGCATTATGGACACGACACCCCCTCGCCCAGCCGCTCCATGTTCCCCAACCCAGCTCCTCCCAAAACACAAGCACCCCTACTTTCCCACTCCTTCACGGCACCTACGAGATTTCGTAATTATGTGCATCTGTCGGCCAATTCTGGTTTGCTTTCCGCTAGGAGTTCCATGAGTCTGCTTTGGTCAAGACCTTTCTAGCACCGAAAGCTGTCTGATACAAGGTGCTCAGTAAAATGTGGCTGAAGTTTTTTTTTCCCTAATAATCTAGGACTGACTCCTTTTCCTTATTTGCTAGTTTCCCTTACAACCACTGGAAATACTCGATTCGTTTTTATAAGTCTTCTTCAAACTCTTAAAGCCAGCATTTTCGAAAGTAACCACACAAGAGGACAGCTGATTACAGGCACACGCTTTCATGATTCCAGCATTTTGAGACACATGCACTCATGCAAAGTACCTTTTACTGTGAAGAATAAAAAACAACTCTCATCTTGAAAGTTCTGAACCATCTAGAAGGATAAAGCAGATAAATGATTAAGATCCAAATGTCTTTTCTGAGCTGATTAGAAAAGAGTAAAATTAGAAGCTACAGGAAAATGTCAGAATCTATGTATCTTTGCACACAGAACTCAGTGGTAAAAAAAAAAAAAAATGCCTTCACGAAGGCAGTGTGAGGTAGTCGAAGTTTACACCTGCTGCACTGGGCAGGACCCCATGCTGACCATGCTTGCCCATGACTAGCCCCTGAGACATCGAAACAGCTCATCTGACCCCCTGGGAGCTGCCCCACCCCCACCCCGGGCCCTGTGAATAATGACTCTTAAGAGGAAGTCCTGGTGTAAGCACTCTTCTATTACCTGCTTGTCACTGAACACCAGGGACACAATAACCTTAATGTTCTTAAAAATTAGTCATCAAATAGTGGCCAAAAGGAAGATACATCCTAACGCCTCCCTGCATAAAACGGGGCAAAGCCCTGCTAACCCCAAAGTTCCCCGGTGAACGTCTAAGGGGTGAGGGGTGGAGGTGCCTGAGCCACGGGTCTCCTGGATCTGTAGTCCTTATGCCACCGGGAGACCCAAACTCTTGTTATAAATTCTTACAGATTTGATCGCAACTCTGAAATTGATTCTCAGGAGTACTTGCACAAGAGACCGCAGGATTTCCCATAGTTCTTCCACGAGACAGAGAAAGTGTGCAAAAGCAAGGGGCGTGCCAGTTCAAGTTACCTGGTCGCTAACAAGAATGTGAATACCGGTGGGACCCTGTCTGTAGACCTGGTTAATTTGGTGGAAAGGAATATTAAACACCGATGCAAGTTTTCGAGCAACTTCTGAAGCGACCATTTCTTCCAAGTAGATCGCATGATAAACTGAAATAAAAAATAAGAACAGCATTTTAGCAGTAATCTTTGATCTGTTTTCCACCTCATCCATAGGAAGATCACCCTTTCAAAGTACTAAAAACCATACATATAAAAATTAAAAATGGGAACTAGTATTTCCTTCCCCCCCATTACTACCTGCTGAAATCTGATACTATATGAACTCTGCTGGGGCTCCTGGCTGGCTCAGCTGGTAGGGTGCACGGCTCTTGATCTCAGGGTCATGAGTTTGAGCCCCACATTGGGGGTGGAGATTACTTAAAAACAGGTATAGAATTTTAAAAAATTAACTATGCCGCACATACAATGTAATAACCATTAACCGTAAACTGTACGAGAGGATCTGAGGTTTTCATTTTTCTTACAGGAATTAACTGCAAATGGGAACAGGGGACTTTTTGGAATGTTGGGACTCAAACTCAATAGCGGTAATGGCTGCAAAACTCTAAATTTACTAAAAATATCCTGAAATGGTTTACTTACAATGGAAGGATTTTACGGTATATAAATTATAGCCGAAGAGAGCGGTTTTCAAAACCGCCACGTGTTTCTAACAACATATAACAAGAGCCAACCCTGTCACTGTTCTGGACTCAGTGATCCTACTACTGGGAGTATACTCTAAGGAATAAAAGCCGCCCCCCGTCCCCCCAAAACCATTAACCGCATAGAAGACCCACACAAACAGCTAGGGGCGTGGACGGTGAAAGCTGCTGCTGTTTCCGAGTCACAGCCACAGGCCACCCAGGGTCCTGTGTCCCTGCCACGTGGAACCCCGTAGCAGCCGTCACGTGCACAACACCCAGTCCCTCTGCAGTGAGCACGGCCCCTGTAGGTCCCACTCGGCCACAGACCCCAGGCAGTGCTAGAACTTGGCTTCCCCGAACAAGGGGGTTTTCTTGTGTTTACAATAATGGAAACCTCTGCTAATCACACATTACGAAAAGCCTAGAATGTGGAACTACAATTAAGGAAAGCACAGAGCCGATCTAGAGCGGAGCCCCCGAACCACAGCCTGTGTGAGCCAAACCCTGCCCTCACTTGCTCTTTTCAAAACCACCGTGTGGCCCCATCCATCGCTACATACGGTCTGTGGTGGTTTTGGGGCCACAGTGGCAGAGCCGGTGGGAAAGAGATCCCGTGGTCCACAAAGTGGAGACCTTTACTACCTGGCCTTTTATGAAAGTTTGCTGGAAACTTAGAAAACCCTTGATGAAGGGCTGAGATGGCCGCTGTTTCCACACATTCCTCCACAAACACTTTCCCAAGTATGACGGGCCTGACTCTGTATATGTAAATGATACACAAAATCTCGATGATACACGGAGAGCTCCTTAGAATTTTATCCTTTTAGACAAAGACTTTTTCTCGTTAGTCTCAAAATTCACAGCTTTAAAGTCAAATGGAAAATGGAAAAGCTCACAAGAGTGAGGCTTTCCTTGGGATTTCTCAAACACAGTGTTTCTCAGAGCACGACCCAGTATTCGGGTAAATGACTGCCACTGTGAATGCCATAACACAGTTCTCTCCGGAAAGTTTGGGGTGTGCTGCCCTTGATTTGGAGTGTGGGAAGGAGGAAGTATTACCACTCACCCAACCTGACAAATGAGAAAACACATCCTTTAAAAGAACTGCGTTTGTTTTTAAGGGCCACACACAGAAGAGGGGAGAAGGGCCGAGATTCGTCTCTGCTCTACAGCAATCTCTTACACAAGTAAGGAAACTCTAGGCTGAGAAGCCCGCCCATAATGGCATCGAGTGTGTTTACAGTGTCACAAGCACAGGGAGCCACTCAGCACCCAGCGCTGGCCAGCTGCCTGTCGGAGACAAGTCCACGCGCTTAGTACTGTTATACACACGAATCTTTGCACATGGGATATTTTAAGCTCCGCCCCCCAACCCCCGCCAAGCCAGTCAGTAAAACAGAGGGAAAAAACAAAAGAGACACCTTCCTGTTTTGTCACCAAGCTGCTGCCGTCACATTCACCGTTTCAGTAAATGTGAGATGCGGGGAGGAATAAAGGCCAGCAAAACTCCAAAGAGCACTCGGGCTGGTCTCGCTTGTTAGGTACTTCTGGCGCCAAGGGCCACACACCCAGGAGACGGAGGTGTGGCGGAAACAGCCGACAAGGGTGGCTGGCGGCCTCCCCCCCCCCCCCCCCCCCCCCATCAGGGCCGGGCCCCACACTGCCGCCTCTCCCTGCTGTCGGGACTCCGAGCGGCTGGGCAGTCTCGCCGGGACTAGGGTCACAGCCCCGCTCGGGGCCCTCCTGCTCCCACCGCAGTGTCGCAGAGGGAGGGACGGGAAGGCTCGATGCCCTCGGCGCCCACCGGTGCCCGTCGGTACCCACCGTAGGGTGTCCCGCCGCTGCCCTCGCCTCCGCCGCCCGCCAGCTGCCGCCCCTGCAGCGGGGAGCCGCTCGGCTGCTCCTGGCAGACATAGATGGTCAAGCGGGGCCTCACCGACCTGCAACCAGAAGAGGCCACTCGTCAGCCCGGGGGCGAGGCTGCCCACAGGGGGCCAAGTAACTGCCGGCGCCTGAGCTCGATCTCCTTAGGAGGACTTTTCGGCATTATTTCATCACACAAAAGAATCCACGAAGAAAAAGGTAAAAACGCACCCCTCACGCCAACTATCACAGGTGGTCTCATCTGATGATCCAGACTCTGAACCATCGAGATGGTCTGTAAGATGCCGGTAAATTTAAGTTTCAAGATTAACTCGGCAATTTCAAATCAGTAAGATTCCACTTCAATGGAATTCTCATGCCACAAGTCTAGAAACAGCAACGACCGTAAATGGGCCTCAAGAGCCAGCATAATTTACAATCCCATCGTTGTCATTCACAATTACGACTTTACATTTTAGCAACTGTTTAGGAGGAGCCACATGACCTTGGAAAACCAGATTCTGTACCTCCCACCTAAACGGGAAGTCTGTTTTCTTGGAGACAAACCCAGCGAGCGGTCTTCAAGAATCAGTACCGCCCATGTGCATTCCTACTGTCTTACAGTCTACTCTGCCCCCATCAGTGCCTGCCTCGTACCTGGGCCCACCCTGGGGGTGCACACGAAACAGTCTCCTTGTGAGCACGATGGGGCCCAGGCCCCGCAGCACACGGGCACGCGCCAACCTGCCACGGGAACACGTTCTGCCCAAATTCCCCACAAAGAAGGGTGCGTCTTTACTTCAAGCAAACCGTTCCTTTTAAACACAGTACTTTACCTTGACTTGAGTGAATTATAGAGCCGAATGCCATCGGCTGCACCACAAATTTGTACTAAATCCTCCTTTGTCAGTTTTAATAAGTCGGCACCTGGAGAACAGCAAAGAGAGATTCTTCTCAGAGACGTGGAAAAAACAAGCAGGACGGGCCGCTTGGAGCACCTGGCTTCAACACAGTGAACCCCCCCCCTCAAAACCATCGCACCGCGGCCTCCATATACCCGCACACGCAAACTACACAAACGCAAGAGTGAGCATACACAGTCCCTGTCCCAGAGAGCCTAAGACAAACGCTTCCATGTTCCAGGAGCTCAGCTAGGATGCCTGGGTGGCTCAGTCGGTTAAGCATCCGACCTGGGCTCGGGTCACGATCTCGCAGTCTGTGAGTTCAAGCCCCGCCCCAGCCAGGCTCTGTGCTGACAGCTCGGAGCCTGGAGCCTGCTTCGGATTCTGTATCTCCCTCTCTGCCCCAACCTCACTCATGCTCGCGCATGGTCTTTCTCAAAAACAAACATTAAAAAATAAAAAAAAAAAAAAAGGAGTCCAGAGGCCCAGAGGCGGGTGAATCAGATCGGTGAGCGGGGCCTTCCAGGGCTGTCTGGTCCTAGTACATGACTTCACCGCCCGCCTTGTTTTGGCTATCTGGCAGTTGTGTAGATAAACAGGATTCTGACCCCAGATAATTAACCTTGAGATCACAACAATAATGTTTTATTTGACAAGAAGAGGAAATGAAGTCTCAAGTTTTGGGGACCCACCCATTCACTCGAGATGGTAGCAGAGCAAGGACTCGGCCTCTTCGTATCGCAACACGCACTGTAAAGTCAGGCCCCCTGCAGCCTGCCGCCGCAGCCGGTCTTAATACGAAGCATGGCACAGAACTGCACGTTATACCTTAAGAACTACGAACTCCCCCATAAATCACTGGTGAGCGTAAGTGTCACGGTATCCGAGATCCGCTTTAAAATATGACACAAAAGGGGGAGAGGGAGTGGCAGAGAGCAAGACTGACCGAAGGCTGGGACGGTTACACGGAGCTTCATCGTCCTCTACCTTGTGTGTCTGAATGTGTCCATGATCTTGCTCCCCCCACCCGCCCGCTATTAACACTCGAAATTTAGTTTATTGGTAGAATGTAAATGCCCTCTGGGATTAAGGCATGACTTCCCTGTAAAAAAGATCCACTTAGGTATGAAACAAGATAACGGAGTTATCTTTTCTATTTGAACACGAAAGCCTGACAACTCTCCAGCTTATAAAAGACCAGAGAAGCCGGCTCCGTGAGGCGCGAGCCCCGGTGGTGTCACTGGACGGAGCGAAAAAAGCAAGACCGGCGGCTTCCCGATCTCTCCGGGGCCCACAGCCGTGCCCGGGGACGCTGTGCGTGCATCTCCCGGACGTGCACACGGAACAGGACGGACGCTCGCGTGCACAGCCTTTTCCGGAGGTGAATGCCCCGGGGCTCAGAGCCGGTGGCCTCACCCTCCTCCCCGTCCTACTGCCAGGAAGCTCCAGGGCAAGAAACAGCGGGCGGCCGGGCCGCGTGAGCGCCCACTCAAGGTGAAAAGAGCTTAAGACTCTCCAAACAGAAACTAAGGCCCTCCCGGGGTTCCCACTGCCAGGGCTTGCGGTCTGTGCTTCGCTCTTCGTGTGTCTTCCCACGAGGGTTCCAGACGCATCTTCCCCACACACGCTAACACTTTTAAATTTCCAATTTCTCACAGATAAAAGGTACAGTCATACAAAAATGTGGTTACCAGCTAGCAAGACTTTCATCCGGTAGTTCCATTTTAAAGAGACAAGGAGCTACACGGGAATGACTAATCGTGCACAACACTGCGGCAAGGGGCTGACAGAACAGAACCCGTCTTTGTGAAATCAAGCTCTCCCCTGGGCCAGGTGGGCGCACACACAGGCCTGTCCTCTCCAAAGGCTCGCGCCGTGGCCCCACACGGCCCTGCGGGCGGGGCAGAGTCACCACAAGGGTACCGCGGCCCGGGGATTCCCGGGGTGTTTGGCCAGGGTATGGTAGTTAGGCACAGGGTCCCAGGGCCACCGATGCCGGGGAAGTGCTGGTCCCGCCCTGTGTGGCCCATCTATCAGTGTCGCTCTAAAACAGGCTTCCTGCTGCACCGCCTGGAGGAAGCCCGCTTGGCCCCTTGTAAGAGCCCGTCTGCGTAGCTCACTCTGCAAGAAGACACTTAAGGATACAAAAGACACACCCGAGTAGATTCACATCTCATACTACCGCACAGCAAGAAAGAGGAATAAACTATTGATACGCCCACTCTGATGGACTCAAGGGCATTATGCTGAGGGGCGGGGAGGGGACGCCAACCACAAAGGTCACATACGGTGTGATTCCATTTACATCACAACATTCTCGAAACGACAAAACCCAAGAGACAGAAAACAGATTAAGGGTTGCCAGAGCGGGCACGGTGGGTGAGGGGTGCGGTAGCATGAAGGGAATCCTCGTGGGGCTGGTGTAACCCTGTATCCTAACTTCGGTAGTGGTCATACGAGCGCACGCTTGTGATAAAATGACACAGAACCATACAGACTCATCCCGCCCACGCCAATTTCCTGGTTTTGACGTCGTACTAACATTATGTGAGAAACCTAGCGAAGGGCACACAGAACATCTCTGTACGACCTTTGCAACTTACTGTAAAGCAAAAATTATTTCAAAATAAATTTAATACATTTAATAAAATGAAAAGCAATGCCCAGAACTATATACGCCTGTGCCAAAAGGCAGGCATGTAAGACTGGTGAAGCCACGGACTGTTCCGGAGTCAGGTTCCCACTACAAGAGGTATGCGGGGTATTACCACTGGGCAAGGCCAGGTGACAGGTACGCAGGACTTCCCAGTACGTGTTGACAACTTACTATGAATCCAGAATTACTTCACATTTTTTCTTAAAAATTAAGGTTAATGAAAGTCCAGAAACAAGTACAAAACACTCATGTACACACACGCGCACAAAACATACCTGAAAAATTGGAAAACAGTCTTGTGTAAGAAGAGAATCGGTTTTTGAGCAGCCATTGTTGTGTTTCCTGGATCGTGGCTGAAGGCTGAAGTTGCTATTAACAAAGAAAACGAACATAAACAGAAAAAACAATTCAAACTTAATAAAAAATAATCCAAGTCCCTGGCATGTTGTGAAGAACATTTAAACAAAACACAGAAACCCTGCAAGTTTAAAGTCCAAGAAGACCCAAGGGGAGCACAGGTCTGACTACCCAGAGACCCGAACAATGACTCGCGGCCCTGGAAGAGCCTTAAAAACGCAGGACCTTTACAGCCTCTGACGGTTTCAGGACAAAGATACTTACTTCACTAGAGGGCTGTGAAACTCCATCTCCCTGATGATTTGGGGAAGAAGAATTGCTAGGGAGAACGGAAGGAAGGAAAGGAGGATTATTACACACATATATTTAAATCAAGACGTTAAAAGGTGAATTTACGGTGGGACAGAGCATATAAATCTGCAAATTAACAATGTTGGCACCACCGGTCAGGGAGTGAACAGGACGATGAGATTAAGCCAGGAGGCTGTTTAATTTGCGCCTCCTCCTTCTCCAGCAGTTCTAGTAAGAACTTCCAGTTTTATGAAACATTATCTCCAAGGGCTTCATGGAAATGAAGGCTACGCATTCATTTTAGTAAGGAAAAAAATAAGAGAATCCAAGATGAACAATTTGAAATTAACTGCAAAACACACACACTTTACTAAGGAGCTACAAGAAATGGTATAATGATCCTAAGCCAACACGGAAAGTGTCCCTTAATTAACACATTTATCCATCATTAAAGACGGGGACATTCAAGGCAGCGGAAGGAACAAACGGGTGCCGCTGTCCTGGGGTTCCTAAGGGAAAATGAAAACAAAGGCGACTCCACAGAGAGGGTGGCGCCTTCCTGGTCCTGTGCTCTGCCTCCTTTCTTAGCATCTGTCCTTCAATCACTTCAGTTCTGACACTGACTGGTGACTGTCCTGGACCCACTGGGATGGGGACGGCTCCCGGACGGTGCGGGAGCCCACAACCCGCCCCCGAAGTCATGACCGTCACGCCACCCAAGAGGACTCGGGACCGGGCTGTGACAGCAGAAGGGCCCCCACATGGGGACACACCAGTCCCTGGTCTCCCCGACGTTCCTCCTCTTACAGCGCAAACATCTACGACCTGAGCTGCCCACCAGTCTACTCCTCTGCTTGTCTTCTCATCAGACCCTGTCGCAGACCGGTCCCTGTGTTCCCTCAAAATGCGGATGTTGATCCCCACGCCCCACTCCCTGCATGACCGCACAAGGAGGCAGGGCTGTGGGGCAGGGACCAGGAAGGCGAGGTCCCACGGGCGTCCGCCCCATGGCGTGAGGACACGGGCAGCCGCCATGGCGGAGGGCCCCCGCCAGAGCCACCAGACCCCACGCTCCCAGCTCCACGACCTCGGGAGACGAGCTTGCACCGTCTCTAAGGCCCCGGGGGCTGGTGTTCCCTTCACGGCGGCCAGGGTGGACCGTGACAGACCGCGTCGGGGCAGCCAGGGCGGAAGGAAGATAACCTCTCCCTCGGCAGTCTCCTGTAACTCTCCTTCCCAGCGAGAAGCTTCCAGCCACAGGGGGCCTCCGATGTGACCCGCCGGCATGAGCTCTGCGGCACCCCCACGCACAGGCCCCGGGGTCCCAGGTGCAATCCCAACCGAGAGGAACATGGAACAAGTCCACCGTCTCCGGGTCTAAAACCACAGTAAGGTTTTAGAAACGAAAAGCTCTCCAAGTTTAAAGACTCACCAATAAACGTAGTGTGTGTAGCAGGAGGGCAAAGGAACAGGGCAGAAAACAGCCCTGATACGGTGCGATTCAAGACCAATGAACGTCCTAAGAAAGGCAATCTCAACACCTGCAAGCCCGTTCCACCGTGGCAACTCACCGTCCTTCTCTCTCCAGGACTCCACTAATGTTCCTTCTCTCTCACCTAGGATGTATCTGGAAAACGCCCCCTTTCCTACAACTTCCACAGTTGTGAACGTGTGAGGCACCAGGGCTGAGAACAGAAAGGCCAGCAGGCAAGGAAGAGACGACTTTCCTCTCAAACCGAGGCGGCCGGACCCCACCACTAAAGACTTCAGATCCGTGTCAACGAGCAGACGCCGTCAACCAAGGAGGGGATGCGAGGGGGCACGGCCCGGGCCGCCCCGGGCGCACGCCGGCAGGAAGCAGTACCTGTCTGGGACGCTGCACGTGCCCTGCTGTGGGGAGGTGAAGGCGGGCGCTGTGGAAGGGCTGCTATTCACGTAGGCTGTGGGGGTATCGGGCCACGGAGAGCACTAAGGACAGAAACAGAAATAAATTAGCGAGCTGCTTTTAGAAGTGTATGAAGAAGTATTTCTGCAAGTCACTCTCTAGTCTGGCCAAATGCAAGGTCATAAAACACAAGACACTTGACACTCATCAAGGAACCTCACAGAAACATCTACTGCCGCGTGGCCTTTACGTGCCACCTGCGTCTACGCACGGACTCATCACAGGGAAGGCCTGAAGTGAGGACAGCAGCGAAAACGTATGCAGGCATTCGAAATGTACACTTATGCACAGCCGGCTTTCAAGACCCCTCCCCTTCCTCTGTAGCAAGGGTCTCACAGGCACCTATCAAGGTTTAGGAACTGCAGAGGCAAGGACGGTTCGTAAGCATCCGACACGTATGGCGACCAGGACGGTGGCTCTGTCCCCCTAGTGCTCCTCTGCTCTCCTGCCCAAGCAGCACCCTCACCAGCACCCACTCGCCTCCCGGATTCCTTTAAGGTTAACAGTCCCCAGCCAAGCAAGGCAAGGCAGGCCTAGCATCGAAACCCATCAACTGTGCACGGTGCTGCCTACGTCTCTCTACCGGTCTGCACATGTCTACACACGCTTCTGGCTTCTCTCTTCTGAAAGGGGCATGGTGAACTAGGACAGCTTTCAGCCTGGGCACCATTCTGAGCACAGACAGAGCAAAGACACAGACACGTGCTATTACAATTAGGAGAAGTGGAAAAGCTAAGTCAAAAGCGTGCTGAGCAGGTCAGGGCAACCAAGGAGGAGCTTCAAACCTGAGCAGGAGTCCACCTCACTCCCTGACAGAGTCCTTAGAATGAGTCCGTGGGAGGACGCCCTCGGTTGCCAGGCCCCCTTCGCAATCACCCTTCTCAGGTTTTACACAAAAAAGCCATCATGTCTCACCACGGCCAGGGGACAGAAGACCCTCCCCCAAACAAAGCAAAAGACCAAAGATATCGGGATAAGTCAGAAAGTACATGACTCTACAACAATGCTTCTGTGTATGTCGGGTAGTTTTCAACTCCTTGCCTTCCGACACTTCAGGAATACCTAGCGTCAGCTGACACCTACTCAAGTAATCGACCAGATCATAAAAAATAGGTCACTGGGATTTGGGGCAAATGACTCAAAAGGAATTGCAAGACCTGAATGACACCACTCAAAGAAAAGTAAGCACGTCTAAACAAAGTTTCTTTTCTCTACAAAAAAAAAAAAAAAAAAAAAAAAAAGACAAATGTAGAATGTGACTGCATTCCGCCCTGTCTCATCCTTCAACAGGCATTTCCAATAACATTTCTATTTTTACATTTAACTGTTTATTAATAATTGTATAATTTGTTGTTTTGATAAACTGGTACCAACAATAAGTAGCTGGCTGGCTCAGTCAGGAGAGCACACAACTCTTGATCTCTGGGATGTGAGTTCAAGCCCCACATTGGGTGTAGAGTTTACTTTCAAAAACATTTCTCAACAGACTTAAGAGCCTTATGGTCAGAGAAAATATTAAATTTCAGTTTGAATACGTCTGTCATAAAGAAGTAATTAGGGTGCTGGTTAAAAGATTTTCAGGCGTAAGAGTCTGTCGTATTGACATGAAATTATTTATGGCGAGTGGAAGAGAAAACAGATCAAGGAGGAAGAATGGGATAAAATTTCAGGCATAACTACAGAGCTCCATCATGAACTTTTTATTTAACATTTACTTATTTTAGAGAGAGAGACGGAGAGGGAGAGAGAAAGCGAGTGGGGGAGGGGCAGAGAGAGAGGGAGACACAGGATCCAAAGCAGGCTCCAGGCTCTGAGCTGTCAGCACAGAGCCCAAAATGGGGCTCGAACCCACGAACCATGAGATCATGACCTGAGCCAAAGTCGGACGCTTCACCAACTGAGCCAGCCAGGTGGCCCCATCATGAACTTTTTAAATGAACAACAGTTGGGTGTTAAATTGCTATGGTATTTAAATTCGGCAGGATACACTTTGAAAAGCAACGTCATAGTTGTATCTTAAATCGACCACCCATTATGTGTCCCCTCGAAAATGGGAAAATTGACCAGAGTGTTCCAACTACTACCAACTTTCAAAAAGAAATCTCATCTGCCCAGACAGCACCACTGAACTTACTGCACGCACACCAATTTCACTGTAAGTGGCCTTTTACGCATCAGTGCCCACTCCCCTGCAACTAGGTCGTTTCTCTTTCCATCTCACAAAGTAACACTGCCTCATCTTGCAGTCTGAGGAGCCCAACTGGCAGATCTAGCCAGTTCTAGGTGTCACATGTTCACGGTCCTCTCCACTACCTGGAAGACGGTTCCCTTGCTACACCATAAAAACTATGACCATGTCGCATAACACGCACATCTAAATAAGGTAAACCTTTTAGTACTAAGTCTCCCCAAATCTGTTCATCACTGCCAGCTGTCTGAGGAAATGAAGCCATCAAAAGCTCCAAGTTAACACGGCACAGTAATACGGCAGGGACACCAAATTTATGAAACCTCCATAAACACACCTACTTCACTTTTACACAACGAGATTCCTTCACCAGTAGAAAAGCAGGGATGCTAACAGCTTACTTCTAAAACCTGCCCAATAAATATGAGGCTTGACTCACTGAACACCAGGAAACCAGTGAAAACTGGTCCTGTTGGGAGGCCTCGGCTTCTAGGAAAATGATGGGTGCCAAGTTCTTAAATGGCCAGGCTAAATGAAACACCAAGGCCCGCTCTCTAGTTTATAGGTTTCTCTTGCAGTATCAACTGGAGAGGGGAAGGGCATACCCACGAAGATTTTCACAATGTTTCTTCTACCCTGTCGTGCTTCCCTGTCTTTAAGCAATGGGGGGTGGGGGACACCTCACTGCCTCAGTCATGAGAGGGTACGACTCTTGATCTCAGTACCCCACGTTGCGGGGAGAGACTACTCAAAAATAAAAATCTTGAAAATAAAAAATAAATAAACAATAAAAGAAAGCGGGCACCTGGGTGGCTCAGTCGGTTAAGCATCCCACTTCGGCTCAGATCATGATCTTACGGTTCAAGAGTTCTAGCCCCGCGTCGGGCTCTGTGCTGACAGCTCAGAGCCAGGAGGTTGCTTCAGAGTCTGTGTCTCCCTCTCTGTCTGCCCCTCCCCCATCCTCTCTCAAAAATAAACATTAAAAAAAAATTTAAACAAACAAATAAAAAAAAATAAGCAACGGTGCCGTGCCCACGTTCCTGAGGAAAGCCTGTGATTCGTTATGGCTCCAGCAATACCCGGCTTGGACTGGTGTGGGCACGGTTTCAGTGCACCGTGAACAAAGTCCCTCCCCAGGTAGACTGGAAAATGCCGGCCCGTTTTAGACCGTAGACACTGGCAGCGTGATCTGAGCCAGTAAAATACAGCTCAGGGACAAAGACCAACAGACACATTAAAGGGGTTGTCGTGCAGCAGCTGGCCAGAGCCAGCTGTAGGGCCTCTACTCAGCGTGGGACCATTTCAAACAGCACCTGGTAACAGGTGAGCCTGCCTTGCTTTCCTAACGAAGGCCAAGCGTAACTACCCAAGAACTGTAAGAAATGCTGGCCTGCCTTTGTAGGTACTCGCACAAATATACGAAATGCTGTGGACTTTTTTAGAGGGACTAATCTGTACCTTACTTTTTCTTCAACAGGTTTCAAAGAGGAGCTCTCGCCACCCCCTACGAGTATCTTAACCAAACCAAATACAGCCCAGGGCAGCAAGCAACACGCTCTAGGAAGATGTGAAATCCCAGGCCAGTGGACTGCTGACGTTTTGCATACTTTAGACTTAAGAGTCATTAATAATTTACCAACAATTCTACCACCTCCAGATTAGCTCCGGACTATAATAGATTTCCTCAATTTACGAGTTATCAGAACGCATTCCTTTTAATTAAATAGTTTCTAACAAGAAAGGAAAAGCAACTTGAGTTACCAGGATCTCCCCAGAAAAGTTTACTAAGAACGATTTGCGAGTCTTCTGCTGGGAAATGCAAAAAAGATTGAAAAATATAAAACTGAAGGGGGCCCAGGGGACCCTGGGGAGGGAGCATATAGTGGTCCACACAAGCTTTGATCCAAATCAGAAAAGCCCAGTTAAAGAAAACGCATTATGTGCGCTCCCTATCCAGACATCCACTTTTCTGTTTTACTGCACAAAGAAGCACTTGAAATATTTTCACTCAATGCTTTGATCTGGAAATGAGGGTCCTGTGATAAGGCCTGTGACTTTCATATTCTACAGAGAATTGCATACACACGTGTTAAGAGTGAAAACGTCACGTCTGGCACCTTGATTTTACAAACACTGCCATGATGAGTAGAGTAGCCATGAATACAGATGATGACTTTTAAAAATTACTGAATGCTCTGTGTTCACATTTACTGCGGGTACCCGGTGATCTAAGTTTAAGTAACAAGAGAATGCTCTGTGGACTGTTAGATGAAGAGCTGTGTCGTCAAATAAAGACATGCTGTACTTAAGGTGACAAAGCCAAAACCCTCGACTGCATGTCAGGAGAACCAGGTCTCAGTGGAGCAAGATGCACTCGCTGTTCTGGCCCGAAGCACAAAGTCACAATGCAGGAGCCAAGAGGAAACACTGATGCAAAGACTTTTTTCTACCAGTGCTGCCAAACAGGCTTTTAAAAGCACAGACAGACACACATTCTTAAACTACATGCAGGGAAATGTGACACAAAGTATCGCCCGTTAATGTCAAGCTTGCTGCCACCATTTCTCTAGATACCCATTGCATTTTCTTATCAGTTATACACATGAGAAAGCAAAACCTTTTTTAATTACACAAAAATGATCAACTCTTTTACTAAAGAGAGTATTTTCAATTAATTTCAATGCTCTTGAAGGAAGTGTGTGTGCAAAGGAGAGACAGGGAGGGAGGGAGGAAGGAAGGGAAGGAGGAAGGGAGGGAACACATTTCTGAGTGTCGTTTTTCCTTCCAAAACCACCCAATATGGTCAACTTTGTTTTAAAGTGTTAGATTTAGGAAATTTTCCTCAGTGAGGAACAAACGGAAAGCAGGAAGTCTAAACAAAAGCAAATTAAATCAAGACAAGGACATCAAAAACAAATTTGGCTTTACTTTTCGGTGGAAGTTGATCCTATATCTAACACTGCACAAGGTTTCCTGCACAATGAGAAGAGAAGCAGAAGTCCCTTACACTGCCTCGCTTTGCCAGAGAATCACCGTAGTCTGCTGGCAAAGTCCGCTTGCTGGACTTTTTCTGCTCATGTTCAACTGCATCTTCAATTATAGGCTCAAGCCTCATCTGGACAAACACCAAAGATTGGGATCAATGTCTTTTCATTACACAGAGAAAGATCTAATACCCTGTTTTAGGTCTCTGCAGTCCAATTAAACAAATGTATGACTAGCAGGATTCAAAGTTAAAGAAAATGCAAAACCCCAGCAGTGACAAAAATCAGACATTCTAGGCCCCGACTTAATCTCTTGACAACTTTCGAGGTTTGTAAGGTCTGTTTCTGAGACCCGATTGGGATTTCAGCATCTTCATTCCGGGCCCCACCCAGGAAACTGATCTGTTAACATCCCCCAGTTTAAATAAAACACCTTCCCCCCCAATTTCACAGAGAACGTTATGTCAGCCCACCGCCCAATCTTCCCAACCCTCGGTGGCGAAACCCCTCCTTAGAGTGCTGCTGTGCAGACTGCTGCGTGTTTCTCTTCAGAAACCGGAGCGCTGCTGGGCGGGCGTTACCTCCGTGAGGATGGTGGTGTCGTAGGACGGCTGGTACTTCTCCTTCTCGTGAGCGGTCCTCTTCTCCATCTTCTCTCGGTCCGTTTTTTGTTTCCTGTCTGCACCTTTAGGCTTAAACACAAGGCAGAGGGTTTCGTCCAGCAGGCTGAAGACGGAACATTTACCAGCAGCACCGGGCCTTACTTATCACTAACAGCCTACTTTCTCTCTCTTACCTTAAACACTTTGATTTGGCAGCTAGCTGAGTGTAGATGATCCGTGTATTCTCCATTTTCGTTCTGCTTAAAGGTGTCGACCTGGATCCTGAAAGGCACTCCCTTCTCGCCTCCGTGCTTCCGTGGAGTGAATTCTGTGCTGATGCAGTGCACCTGGAAAACAACTCAAGCTGAAGGGGACTCAGAGAACCGTCTACGGAGTCCCCTTCTATTTTACTCCTTCTTGGACGTCCTGCCACAGCCGTACATTCAAGATCTTTTCGATTAGCCGGATGCCCGTCATGAATTTCTCTGTACGGCTCTCCTCTCACGAATCCAACTGGGCCTTTCTGGACTTTCCCCGGTCCAACGCCTCCTGTCCTTTAATGCAGGACTTGTTCCAATCACGGGTACTCTCCTACCTCCACTCTGGACTGAATGATGCTCTCAGACGCAGGGTCCTCGGCCTCGCACGCGGCTCAGTCCACGGCAACGGACACCTCACCGTCGAGGGCTTCCGTTTGTCCTCCCTCTCCCGCCACCACCTTGCCTAGCCAGCCCATCCCCTCACTGCCGGGCCTACGTACGCCAACTGTGAGACCGACCACCTGGGCAGTGGCCACCTTCCCCAGAGCCCACTACTCGCCCTGCCTGTGTGAGCTAACTCCTCTGTCAGCCTTCAAAGTGCACTGAGGACAAGGCTCATTTCCCACCACTTCTGTTCCTCTTCCAATACCAGTACAAGGTCAGCTAATACGAACCATGTCCCTAGTGATTATTAGTTGATGGGAGATACTATTTGGTAGGCCACAAAAACACAAAATACTAAAGATTCTTTACAGTTCACACAAATGAGAGCCTACTTAGGCTCATCAGCAATTACGCAATTTCCCTTTCTGCATGAAGATTACCTAACTCGGTAGTTTTAATAACACCATACACAAATTTGAACACAGAGGGTATAAAAATTACTACTAAGTCTATTTTACACATATTATATTTATGTTTTGAAAAAACTCATCTCTTAGGGATACAAACTGGGTACTTAGGGTGAAATGAAATGCCTGGGAGTTGCTCTAAAGTACTCCATCAACAACAAAAACCAGGGAAACGACTAGTAACTGTTGAAGCCAGGTGGTAGATACACTGAGGATTCATTATTCTTCTTCTCTCACTTTGGTGGGGGTTTGACATTTTCAATATTAGAATGTCTTTAAATAATGGCAGAAGGTGGGGCGCCTGGGTGGCTCAGTCGGTTAAGCGTCCGACTTCGGCTCAGGTCATGATCTCACGGTCCGTGAGTTCGAGCCCCGCATCGGGCGCTGTGCTGACAGCTCGGAGCCTGGAGCCTGTTTCAGATTCTGTGTCTCCCTCTCTCTCTGACCCTCCCCCGTTCATGCTCTGTCTCTCCCTGTCTCAAAAATAAATAAATGTTAAAAAAAAAAAAATAAAAATAAAATAAATAAATAAATAATGGCAGAAGGAATCTTGAGCTGTACACTTTTTCCAATCTCACCCTTTATTTTTTTAAGTAAACCCTATGCCCAACGTGGGGCTCGAACTTACAACCCCAAAATCAAGAGTCGCATGCTCTATGGGCTGAGCCAGCCAGGTGCCCTAATCCTACGCTTTTAAAAACAGCAGCTTTTCGGGGGGTGCCTGGGTGGCTCAGTTGGTTAAGCGTCCGATTCCTGGTTTTGGTTCAGGTCATTGTGTCGTGATTTATGAGTTTGAGTCCCTAGCTGGGCTCTGTGCTGACAGTGCAGAGCCTGCTTGGGATTCTGTCTCCCTCTCTCTCTGCCCCTCCCCCCGCTTGCTCTCTATTTCTGTGTCAAAATA